CCAGCTCAGCTCCGGCTCGGCTCTGGGTGCAGTGGCTGCCACTGGGCTGGGCTGGGCTGGGCCACTGTCACTCACCGGGGCCAGGGGTCATCGTGGTCTTGGTGTGGTAGCGCCCCAGGATGGAGAAGGCGGGGCCGAGGTCCTTGCCAGTCCTCAGTACCTTGGGGTTCACACTGTAGCGAGGCCCCGGGGAGCAGTTCTCGGCCAGGAGAAGGGGGGCCCCGCGGAAGCTGTAGGCAGGCGCCCGCACCTTGGTGGGCGTGTGCTTCATGAAGCCTGTGGGCGGGGACTCTGAGCACCCGGAGCCGACCCAGCTCCCCAGCCTCCTGACCCCAGAGGGGTTGATGCTGGGAGTCGGGGGGAGCCCCGGGCCACCCCAGACCTTCCCCATCCCTCCCCACCCCTCCCCAGGCCCACCCCACACCTGGCTGGTCCCTCCCACCCCTTCCAGGCTCAAGGCACCTGCCTGTGGTGGGTGGAATCAGGTACTTGGGGCCCGGGCTGCTGTAGAGGGCCATGATGGGCCCCCGGGGGCGATGGGGCCTCCAGGTTCCCACCCATACTTCTTCCGTCATGGCCGGCTCTGTTGCGAGGAAGGTGAGCACAGGCTGGGAGGCCCGCCCCGCCCCGTGCCTGCCTCTGCCCCCACGGTGGGCAGGGCTGCAGGTCCTGGCCTCCCAGCACCCCCTCTGCAGGGCGGCGAGCTGGGGCCCACGCCTCAGGGCAGTGGACGCTTCTGTGGGTTTGCTCTGCCTCCCCAGGCCCAGGGCAGCAGCGTCAGAGCTCGGGGACCCGCCCAGGCTGGCTGTCCCTTCTGGGCCTCCCCGACCACCCTCCCTGCTCCAGGGGGTCTGGCCAGCTTCCTCCCGCTCAGAGGGTGCTGGGCGTGCCGGCCAGCCGGGCAGGGGTGGAGGTGGGAGCTTCTGGGCTGAGGCTGTGCTAGGGGGCGAGCGAGGGGCTCTCCGGGAGGCCCTTACCTGGTCCAGGGGCGGCGCTCCGAGCAACCTATGGACCGAGCCTCCTCAGAGGTGGTCCCGTCGCATCATCCTCCGTGTCAGGGAGTTCCCCAAAAAGGGACATGGAGAGGAAGGCTTCCACCTCTCCCTCCTCTCCCACCGGGGGGCTTTAAGAGTCAGGCCCTGACCCCCGGGCTCTAGAATGTGGCTCTATGGATGGTGGGTTCTAGATCGCCGGCTCTGTGATGCAGACAATGGCTTCTGTTAGAGGAACCCTGCCCTGGCCAGGCCCTGCTCCCGGGTGGCCCAGGAGCAAACCTCTGAGCCCCCCAGCAGCGCCCATGGAGCAGGTAGCAGGCAGCAGGGGCTCGGTCCCAGGTGAGGGTGG